CCTCCCTCCCCTCCCCTCCCCTCCCCTCCCCTCCCTCCCTCCCTCCAAGCTCATTCGTTCTTAATCATAATCTTGCTTCTATTCCTCATTTCATTCTCCTGCTTTCTCCTCCTCAACGTCTCTCAGGCTCGTTCCCTACTGGCTGAGGTTCCACCCGAGAAGCACTCTCCTCCTCCAAGTCAGCTCAACCGACCAACTACTCCTTCGTCAGTCGTTGCCGCGAGAGCTGCATGGTACAAGCGAAGGAGAGCGCAAGGGAGGTCACTCGAGACGCTGAGAGAAGACGGGGAGCAAACTTTGTCTACTTCGACGAGGAAACAAGAAGATTCTTATGTAGACCATGGCGATAATGAAGAAAGCGGCGAGGCAGTAGGAGGGGATGAAGATGTGGCAGGCGGAGGCGAAGAACAGCGAGCACAAGAAAGTGGCGAGGAAGAGGAAGCGAAGGTGGAGAATGAAGGGTGGCTGCAGATGGAAATGGAAGATGGGCAGGGAAACTTTGATAGGAGGGAGGAGGAGGAGGAGGAGGAGAAAGAGGAGGAGCTCCCTTCTTATGCTACGGGAGGAGCAGAAAGTATCGAGGAAGGTGGAAGCGGAGGAGAAGAATTCAGACGTCGTCGGGTATACTATCAGGGCGAGGAGCAGGAGATGAGCGAGGCAGAGGACTACACGAGCGAGATAGGAGATGTCAGTTCGATGACAAGCACAGCATGGGACGACATTTCTACGATCTTGGACGAGGAGGACGATCAGATTGCAGCAGAGATGAGCTTCTTGATGCAGGAGATCGAACAGCTGAAGCTGGAAATGGCAAGCAAGGTGGGAAGGAAACCTTCACGTCTGTCTATCTTTACTGACATCTGCAAGTACAGCAAGGCAAGAGCAGCAAGGAGTTGATATCGCAAGTGAGAGGATCTTCGTCTTGCTGTCCCGCAAGTGCCTGACATGCCCTGTTGCCCAGATCGCCTCGTTGCAATCGAAGATCGCGGACCTGAAGCTCCTGGACTTCTCTGACTCTGACGCTTCTAGGGAGGAGGGGAAGTGCAATGGCGGACAGGAGGGCTGGGAGGTCAAAGAAAGACAAAACGATCAGCACATGCTCCAGGATGAGGGAAGAGAGAGAGGAGGTGAGGAGGAGCGCGAGAGGAAACGAAAGGATAGCGAGGAGACCGTGGGAGATCAAGACAAGGATGAGACGGTTCTTTCTGATGCTGAGGTGGAAGAGGGGGAAAGCCAGCAGAGAGATTCGACAGAATGGAAGGATGTATTGAGGAGTAAGAGGACAGAGGAGATGGCTGAGGGGAAGAAGGAGCGTACGGAGGAAGATGAGGAGGAGCAGGACGAGGAGGAGCAAACTTTACAGCGCGACAACTTGGATGTTTCGGAGAGAGGAGGAGAAGGATCTCTGTCAGAGACTGCTGCTGTCATGGCACATGCGGACAACCAGAGCATTGAAGGAGATGACGTGAGAAGGAGAGACGAGGGCGAGAAGGAGGAGGAGAAGCAGAAGATGAACAAGTTCGACATCCTCAAGTCAGTCCTCCTTCACTTGACCCTCTCTCCCCGACCTTCTCCCTAACCCTCCTACTCTAACCCTCCTACTAATTCTCTTCCTCTCTCCTACTTCTCCTTCACTCCTTTCCTTGTGCTCATGAAGTGCAGGAGGGCGAAAGATCGCGGTTGGAGCCTTCAGAAAAAAGTCGGACGATGACATAGGAGCAGCGAGCGGCTTGGACAACATAGGAAACGAGAGGATAGGATAAAAAATCTGCCATGTGCGCCGGCCTATTAAGAGTACACTTCATTACATATCAATCGCTGATTACATTTACACCGTAGGCTCGTTGAGTTCAAAGCACACAGATCTAAGACCAAAACATGTCCTTATCAGAAGCTGGAATGTTCGATTTTGCATTCTGCACTTGTTGGATAACAGCAAGAAGGCCTGCATGCCAACTCAGCAACAAGCAGCGGAGGGCAACGGGATCGACAGACCTACTGCAGCCGATGCTCCCACTGCTAGCCCTCCCGCCATGCAGATCACCTATCCCCACCATGTGTGACGAGGATGCAGCGCACGAGAACAGATCTTACAGTTCCCATGACCAACAGTGTCAGATTCAAGAAGACTGGGAGGGAGATATCCAACAGGCAGATAGCCACCAGGGCTGAAACGCCAACATGTCAGGTTCAGGTCACCGCAACAGCATCAACTTACCAGCTCCCCATGACGCAAGCGATGCGATGGCAGCCATTCCTAATGTCCTTGTCAGTCTCTACATCAAAACATGTCGCCGTCACCGTCGAATGTCGTTGCCAACCACTGAAGCCACATGGCTCGTCGCTTGCTCCCTTTTGCCTCCAAACTCTTTGCCTTGAGCTCTAATGACCTGCCTTTCAACTCCAACGATCGTGCTCTTGACGCAAGTCTGTCCGCCACTTTCACCAGCTTCTCTTCCCTTGCCACGGTGCCATCTTTCGCCGCTCCAAAGCTTCCGAGTCGAGATGGAAAGATCACAACGTCCTTTTGAACAGGTGATCCACGATCTGCATGCTAATCCTCAGCACTGCAAGGTGAAGAGAGCAGGAAGAGAGCAGAACCAACCTTCGGTATCTCTAGGCTGATCGATTGCACTCTGACCTTCTGACCTTCTAGTTGCTGACGGCCTTAGACTTGATAGTGGAAGTGAAGTCTTGCATGCTTCGAGCTTCCTCGAGCCTCCCATCCCCAGCGGCTGTCCCACAAAGGCCCTGCCATGACGGAATTCACAATCTCACAGACAATCCAGCGGAGAGAAGGTGGCGAGACATGTGTTCGCAGCGAGCGAGCTTGTACTTACGTAGAAGTCTCTGCGATTCGCAAGCCACGCAGCATGACGGCATTCGAACTTGACATGGGACACATCATGATGAGCATGCAGGTAAAGACATGGATTGACATCTGTAAACAGTAATTTCAGGTGAGGAGACAAGTTTCCATCTCGATTATGCTCTTTGATTTCGCAGCAAATCCATCACATAACCCCTGGTAACAAGAGCAACGTCGACCCAAGGGTAAACGAGCTCAGCAACAGTGGAATCTCTCCCATATTGCAATTTCAATGAATCCTTTTGTATCAATTCATTTTCCAGAAGCATGGCATCAATCTCCTCACAATGTGCATACCATGCTAAATTTCCCTCCTTCAACGTATTTTTTTACTTTCTGCCTCATACATCATCCCCCGTGTCAATCAGTCACCTTCCTCCAGTTTGAATTGGTCAAGCCCATCACAACATGCCAGCAAGTGAAAGTTTATCATAGTCCGCACTACCCGCCTCCTACTCAAACTATATGGCTTTGTTGACCTTGGCTCAAGATCTGACACTGGCCGGCAAGGACCCTTGCGTGTTGTCTCCACCTACGCTCCTCCTTCTCCTCCTCCATGTTCTTGTCGTCATCATCGTCAACTCGCCTTGTTTCCTTCATGGACATTGCTACCGCTCACTCCCTCTTCTCCAATCCTCAAACAGTGCATGCTCGTTACTGCTCTAACCCAACTTTCGCTCATCGCCGCGTTAACCCCACAAACTTTTGGGGGTCACAACGATCATCGCTATCTCTTCACCCTACCCTACCATACAATGACCCCACAATGGGCTGCAACTGCATAGGACCCTACCAGGTCAAAGAAAAGGGTTTCAAGCATAAATGTACCCATATCACAGAAACTACCCACCTACCCAATAATTTGTATCATAACGACCACCCACCCCTTTGGGGTTGCAGAACACCCCCTACCCATCTCTCCGCCCAGGGGCCGGGGGAATAACATTTTAGTTAATTTTTAAGAAGTAACACAAATATTAAAAGTAAAATCATAAAAGTACGCCCCACGACGAAACCAATTGAGGACAACAGCCCACCCCCCGATTTTCCAACTTGCCGCCACAGTTAAGGTTTTGGTCGAATATCACCCGTCTAATATATACAAAAGACCCCCTTTTCTGTACTGATTGAAATCAGTACCCCTGGTATGAACACCCCTACCTGGTCTTATTGGCATCGTGTCAGGGATGGGTCAACTGTCCTTTTAAACAATGTTTTAAGAACTCGATCTCGGGGGCTGAGATACAGAAAAAACGTCTTTTCGTGTATTAATATATGTACGTATCCCATGTGTCTCATATGAGGTTTCAGCGGTTCGTGCCAGGTGGTGGTGAAAATAAACTGGGGGTAGTGCAATATTTCTCCTTTTGCCTTGAAAATATACCAGGTAATTTCGAAATTTGAAAACGCACTGTGGTCTGGTGCTATCTTTTAGCTGATTGGGGGCAGATGATGCTGTATGAGGGTCTGAAAACCGGCCGGGTCTACAGGCACATTCCGTCCACGAAAACCGCACAAGCAGAGACCCATCCATGGCTGAGATAGGACAATTGTAAGATGACACAATCTGGGAAATTGTCGTTTTGTTATTGAAAAGGTTGTGCTGTCGAAACAACATGATTTATGAAAGTGCTTACAAGTATGAAACGGTTGTATAAAGGACTTGACTCTCATTGAATCATGCCAGGTACTCAATCGAACTTCAGATTGCGTAGACTAGTTCGTCAGAGCTGTTTTACTGTTGTTTTAAGCGATCGAAATCAGCATATTGACAGCAAATGCTAATTTTTCCATGTTTTGATGGGGTGTTTGGGAAGATTTTACGGGGAGCGTTCAAGTCTTGGATGTTTTGGTCTACGATGGACACGCCTTCAATGGACAGTTGGTTCAAAGATGGCTTGAGCTGCCGTGCCGGAAGAATGCTCGAGTTAGTGCTGTAGAAGGAAATTTACAATTTGTTTTGTAATCCTCGAAAGTCCTGACTAGCAAGATTTACGACACCCCTTCCCAATCATGAATTTGCGCACGTAATTCATCACGAACTGTCAGCACAAACGTCTAGAATACAATGATGATCAAATCTTCTATTACTTAGATTCAGAATTTTCTCATTCAATGTGTATATGTGTGTAACGTTCAATGATGTAAAACAAGCATAATTGTGTCGGAGGCGTGATCAACTGATTGATTTTGGAATGCAAACTTGAAGCATTTGATGTTGTCGAAGCCCGTGAAGCTTTGCATGTGCTTCTTTTGGATGGTTGAAAATGTTTTCTTCCTAGTTTTGGTCCATAAATATGCAAACAAAGGAAATCACACCAGAAATGAGAGAAATTGAAACCAGGCACAATACGCAAGAGAATCATAAAGGAATTGTGATTCATAGACATAGATTTCAAGATCATAAGCCGTGTGCAGCTTTGGTCGCCGATGATGCCATGATGGGCGATGCCATGATGATCACAGTGCTGCACTGGGCCGCCTAGCTAGCAATAACAAGTCCAGGAACGGATAAAAAGTTTTAAAAATCGATGAGGCGGGCCGGAGACTTGGCTGTAGAGGGAGGGGTGAATGGATGCAGGAATGGATGGTCTTGTTGGGGTAGGGGGTCATCGGGACGGTTACGCAATGTCGGGGAAAATGCAGCTATTGCGACCCAGTCACACTCGGGCTTTGATGGAGGTAAAACTCCCGCAATGCTGAATGATCGTTTCGAAACCATGACAACTTGACAGTGACTTGTTGTGGTTGTGGTTGTGGTTGTGGTTGTTGTTGTTGTGGTTGTGGTTGTTGTGGTTGTGGTTGTGGTTGTTGTTGTTGTGGTTGTGGTTGTGGTTGTTGTTGTGGTTGTGGTTGTGGTTGTGGTTGTGGTTGTTGTTGTGGTCGTCGTCTTGTGCAATCAAAGATCCAATTTTAAGACCTCCTCGGATCGCTGAGCTCGAATGATTGTGGTTCTTCGATGAACTTGCTATCAAAGATTTACGTGAACCAACTTTCCTAGATGCTTGGACACTTTTTATGTTGATTTCATTCTGACATCGGTTCAAACTCTATTCGTGCTCGAGAAACGTGGTGTGGCTGAAAAAGGAGTTACAGGTCGCCCAAACTACAGGGCCAGGATGGTTCATGACGACTGCAATCCCTACATTGATAAGGTGAGATTGTTGCAACCAAATATCAGTTGCAGTTCTCTCTTGAGACCTCTCATAATCCCTTGCGCATTGGTCAGTGTCCTGGTGATCGTCGGTGTCAACTTAGCGTCGGAGTTCAGCACAGTCGCTGCAGCCATTGCGACAGCACCAACAGGGACGCCGGTGAGTATATGGGTGATGGTTCAGCAGAATCCTCAAAAGAAGGCAACGATTCTGATTGAATACACGAACAATGTCGTGAAGGGGGTGCTGGCGACCTTAGCGTTCGCATTAGGATGTAACGCCACTGCCCGATCGGGCTATGGCATGTGGCCGGTGCTAGCTGTAGGATATTTAACGTGGTTCCTTGCTTGGTCGATTCTAAGTCGATTGTAAGAAACTTGCTGTCTGGGAAACCTTGACTCTTTCTGTATTGACTCTTTCTGTATTGATCCCTCGCCCTGTCCATACACCTGCAGTTTTTCGTATTCTCTGGGTAGTTTGCAACAAAGTTGAGGACAGGAGCAAGTAATGACGATCACCACTGAGCTCTGAAGACTTGTATATCTTTATGTCTCTTGATTTCTTACGATGACATGAACGATCTAGTCGAAGTCAGGATTTCCTCTACAATTTCACCCAAAACTCCAGAGGATGTCTAAACGTGTGATACTGTATCTAATGGATCATACTTGTAGAGTTACACACTGAAGAGAATCTCTGGCCAAGATCCTCTCAAGGCTCCTAGGCGCCACAGAGACGGGAACGCGTCCACCGACACCATCACCGCAAGAGGAAGAGAGAGGGTAGACCATTGAAGACAACAGGGACGAGGAAGAGAAGGGTAGCAGATATACTGTAGAACGTGACACATACAGCAAACTGGCCGATCGAAACAGGCAATAGCAACAAAGATGGCTGTCCAAGGAATTACCTCAGTTTACTAGGCTCTCCGCGCAATGCTGTGGCTCTCTCCTGAGACACGAATGCATGCTCTTGTTGAGAGTATGCGTCTGCCTCCTCTGCTCTGTCTCTTTCTCTAGCTGTTACTATCACCTCTGACTCTTCTTCGATCACTTCACCCCTTCCATCTCCACTCCTCCTCCTTCACCCTTCGCCCTCCCCTCTCCCCTTTCTCCTGCTCTTTTCACTATTATTTCCCGCCCCCGCCCCAGACGCCGGTGATCCGATCCGGCCAAATGGAGGTGAGCGATCTAAGGAGGCGAGGGGGGAGGGGGAGGGGGGAGGGGGGAGGGGGAGGGGGGAGGGGGAGGGAGGGGGGAGGGGGAGGGGGAGGAGAAGGAGAAGAGTGAGGAGGTAGCAAGTAAGGTGCAGCGGCAGAGAGTGGGAGATGAGTCAAGATTGAAGACCATCAGCAAGTTCCCATCACCATCAGCTCCCTTGTGCCAAGATGACCATGCTAGAATAGACGCTTGCGCGGCGAGAGAGGACCGTGCGATAACTCGAATATCTCCAGGAGACCGCGCCAGCCAAAGACGGGATACAGCATCGTCGTCCTCAAGTCTACTTCGACTTGAGCCATGGCGGGAGCACAGCGAGAGTGATCTTCGAGCTGTTCGACGACGTGGTTCCCAAGACCTCCGACAACTTCAGAGCGCTATGTTTGGGAAATCACAAGGGAAAGGACGGCAATGCCCTCCACTACAAGGGGAGCTGCTTCCACCGCGTCATCCCAGGTTTCTTGCAGCCAGCCGTTGCTGGACTCGTGACGTGCGCTGGCAGATTTCATGCTGCAAGGAGGAGACATAACGAAAGGAGATGGTACAGGCGGCGAGAGCATCTACGGGTACTCGTTCAAGGACGAGAACTTCGCCATCAAACATTCGACCAAGGGTCTTCTGTCCATGGCTAACTGCGGCAGCAATACCAACAACAGCCAAGTATGTTGTGAAACAAACCTTTCCCCTTCTCAAGCTGTATGTACCAGTTTTTCATCACTGTCAAAGCAACACCATGGCTTGATGGCAGGCATGTTGTCTTCGGGAGAGTGGTCGAAGGGATGGACACTATCATGGCTCTCAGCCGGTGTTACTTGTTCCTTCGGCTCCCTTCTTCCCTCACTGATCGGCACAGTTGCAAAACAACTTCGGGAGACAGGCCAACAGTTTCGATTCTCGTCAAAGATTGCGGCGAAATTCTGGTCGGTTTCCGTTGTTTGGCAAAGACATCTGCCCTCGAAGTGATCTTGCTCTACGACAGGACGAGGAAGCGCAAAAGCATCGCGAGCTGGAGTTGGAAAGAAAGAAGCAGGAGGTGAGTTGAGAGCTGTACTGGAGTGTTCAGTTCAACTGAAAGGCTTCCAGGAAATCGATGCTGGCAAAACGGAAATGCAAAAATCGCATGAAAGGATGAAACAAGAACGAGCAAAAGTAGCGCATGACCCCCTGTGATACTTCTGACAATTATGTAGATTGAATTGGAAGCGAAAAACGTCGAGACTTGAGCCATGAGTATGTTGTTGACCTTACTTGAAGATCAGGTCTGTGAGGCGGTTTCGAGTGCTGTCCAAGAAGGAATCAAACGCAAGGTGAGCAGCGCTACAAGAATCAAATGCTCCTCCTGACTCCTGTCAGGTGGTTCCGGAGGCCAATGCCAACAAAAGGAAAAAGGTAATTGTCACACTGGAAGCCGAATCTGTGACTGCGGATTATGTATGACGCCCTGAACTAGGTTGGTAGCGGGATGTTCAAAGGTTTAGAGGACGACAGCAGCGAAGAAGAAGATTGAAAACTTGAAGAAGAAGATTGACAACTTGGGAACAATCAATCAGAGAAGCTAATTTACGATGAATATCAAACAGGGCGAGAGTAAAACAAGCTAATTTATGCCATAATGGCGCCAAGCTGGAACGCCGTTCGCCTTGCGATCGCCTTCTCGGTTGACTGTCATTGCAGCGGTCAATCTCAGCGCAAACGAGTCAAAATCGCAATTTCACCTCGTCACCCACGACCGACAAGGCAGCGCCTGCAGCGGCAGGAACAGCTCTCTTCACTGCCGCTTGCGGGAGTTGTACATAAGTCTGGTTCGGAACTTGGTTGTATGAAGTCATCATGTTCATCGCCGGGGCTGGTTGCTGCAGAGATGGCTGAACAGGCCTGAGCAGTGGAAAGTCAACAAGACAGAGTCAAGTCGAAACGCTGAAATCGAAGAGACTATCGATCCTCTCAGTCTCCTTGTTCAAAACAATGAGGACTATATCACTCTTTGCATGCTGCGCCCTACACTATTTACAAAACATAACAAAACATGTTGAACAAATATCTGCTCATATACTGCCTTGCCGGAGTAGCAGTAGCAGTGATAGGAGAGTATTGTTCATGCGGCAAGGAGTGAAAGTAGGATATTGAAGACAGCTCAGGCAGAAAAGCGAGCTAAATAGTTCAGCAACAGAAAGATACAAACATATTCAATATCTAAATTCTTACTTGACCTCAAACTTCTGTTCTGAAGACATCTCTAATTCTGTTTTATTCCTCAAACAAGTCTTTCTTGTTACTGTCCCTCACCTTGCGCTACCTACCATTACATCGTCTAATGGAGTTACAATTGTTCCTCTCAGTCTCTTTGTACCAACATCAACGGGCTCGTCTAACCACCACCTCTAATTTCTTTGTCTCTCCATAACATTCTCTCCATAACACTCTCTTTCTCTGCATCGTCTCCTTGCCATCTCCTCTCCTTCGTTCCTTTCCTTTCCCTTCCTCTTTCTGAACTTCTCCCACTTCCGCTTCCTCTTCCTCTCCCGCTCCCTCTCCCGCTTCCTCTTCCTCTTCCTCTCCTTCCTTACCGCCATCCACCCTGGGGAATCCACAGGCCTTCGAAGAGCATGACGTCCGGATATAGCGAGCGGTTACATCCGTTGAAGCAAACGGTGGTGGGACAGAGCGGAGATGAGGGTAAAATTGTCGGAGAATGCACTTGCAGTGAAGGAGATGCGACCGCCGAAATGCCGACGAGGTGAGGGAGGAGAGAGGAAGTGAAGGGGAGGAGAGGACGAGAAGGTAGGGAGGGAGCGAGGGAGGGAGCGAGGGAAGGGGAGGAGTGGGGAGGAGGGATATGGGTGATGTACAGATAGAAAGGCAGCAGTGGGGATCGGGAGCAGCAGAAATTCCGTCGATGTTTCTTACTGTTTCGTCTACATAGCAGAAGCTCTACTTGTTCTGCTGCTGCTCTACACGCATTCGACGAGCAGTCTTCACGTTACCCGAGCGAATGAGCTGAGGCCAACTGGCAACAGGATGAAGCGAACGCGCCTGGACACCGTTGTGGGGATGTCCAGCACAGTGTGGGGGTTGGAGGCTGGAGTCGTCACTGGTGCTCTTCTTTCTCTTCAGAAGATCTTCGAGCTTGGGGAGCGGCCGGCAGTCCTCGGAATGATCGCTAGCTCAGCAACAGCGGGAAGTTTCTTTGGATCCAGCACTTCTGGTAAAGTAGCAGGTATGAGGCGATTACCTCCAGGCATGTTCTTGCAAGCGTGGTGAAGCTCTTTCTCAGATCTGATTGGTCGACAGAAGACTTTGTCTGCTGCTTCCCTATTGAGCTTCGTCGGCTGCATCCTGGGGGCGACAGCGTCGAGTTTGCATCAGGTGGTGTTGGGTAGGTTTGTGTCGGGTGTGGCGATCGGGACATTCGGAACAGTCATCCCGATGTGAGATCGTATTTCCCTGGTGCGACGCTTCTGACAGCTGACATGTCTGTCTTCAAGCTATGCTGCAGAGTGCTCACCATCATCCAAGAGAGGGTACATCATGTCGCTACCTCAGATGGGCATGTCGTCGGGCATCTCAGTGATTGAGGCCGTCTTGTGTTATGACAGCACTGAATCATCATTGCAGATCTCTTACATAGTTAGCGCTATCGCATTCTCGTATGGTCATACCTACAAGACTTTGTTTCTGTTCAACGTGAGCCAGTCTACATTCGCCTCTGTGGTATTGACTCACATTTAGGCTATCTTTGCGTTGTATGCCTTCGCACTTTCCTTGTCCTCTCTTGATTCTCCGAGATGGCTTCTTCGACAAAGTGTCTTTGAAGTCATTGAGATCGATGATGAACATTGACTCGCGAGCAGATCGCAGGAATGAATGCTACGATGCCATGCATTTCTTTGCATCCTCTCATGAAAACGATCCTTCAATTCACTCCAAGAGACCGGAGGCAGGATGGAAGAAATTGATCGTGCTGCCCGGCATGCAATCGACATTCGAAGACAAGATTCACAGAGATCTGGAGGCCCTTGCAGACGTAAGTTCGAGTCTTTCAAAGTTGAGCACCTACAACTCATCTTCAGGGGCTAGAGAACGAGAAATATACGAAGCAACAGGCGTCGGAACATCATCCGAGAGACAAAATGACCACGGTGCACCTGTCATGCTTACTCGCCTCCCTCACTCTACCTTGTAGAGGCGAATCCAGAAAGCGCTCCTGATCTGTCTGGGGTTACAAGTCATTCAGCAGGTACTTATCGTCGGATCCGACGTCGAGCTCACAGTATTTCAGTTCAGCGGGATCAATGCAATCATCAGCTTCTCACCCTCCATCCTCAAAGAGGGCAACGTTGTCGCTCGTATCCGCGATTTCTTCATGTGGTTGGCTCGATTGACCTGTGCTGAGGGTTCATGGTGACGTTGGATCAGGCTCGGCCTGAGATCGCATGATGCGACATTCGCTATGCTGGCGACGGCTGCTGTTTACACGCCAAAGCTGATTGCAAGTCAGCTGAGACTCTTGCTGTCAACTTGACTCTCTGCGTGTATTAGATGATCTTCCTCATCATGCCCTTGATGGATCTCTACGGAAGACGCACCATCCTCCTCACAATAGTTCCGGTGAGGAGGAGGAGGAGGAGGTGAGTGGGCTGATGTGAGTTTGAGCAGCTCCTGTCTGCTTCTCTCGGGCTCTTGTCGATCTCCATGAGCCAAAGGCTGAAAGGCTCGTCCTTGTCTTCTTTGCTCTCGCTGCTCGCTCTGCTCACGTGAGTTCAACTATGCTCCTCCGTCGCAGCCTCATCTCTCCTTTCACAGTTATCAGGCTTTCTTCTCCGTCTCCCTTGGCCCCATTCCCTCCATCCTCTCCTCCGAGTTGCTCCCCACACATGCGCGAGCGACAGGTCGCCAACGCATGAGGGTCCTCTACACGCAAGTTGACTAGCATGTTGTTCAGGCATGTCCTTCCTGATGAGCGCTCAGTACACGGCCAATTGTCTTGTGATCTACTCGTTTCCATTCCTACAACTGAAGTTCGGCAGTTCAGCCGTCTTGGCCGGCTACTCTTCCTTTATCCTCTCTTCCTGGATCTTTATCTTTGCCTTTGTTCCAGAGACCAAGGGAGTCAATCTCGAAGATATTGTTCTCTAAATGTGCAACTAAATTTAAGGTTGGAAACATCAAATCAGCATAAGCAAAAAAGCATGAATCCCGAAAGGGATGTCACAAAACGATGAATATAAAATCATCGGATCAGCTATCAAAGCCGCTACTGCATATCTCAAGCCTGCATGTTTGCCGGCTTTTGAAACCTCACATCATCGTGGCCATACTTCTCAAAGTCTCGCATTTTCCTGAGAAGGTCGCAGAATTCCTCAAAGTCCAAGCAGCCGTTGCCGTCTGTGTCTGAATTCGTCCACAAGGTGTCGATGAGATCCCTAGGAGCCTTTACCCCCATGTTGGCGAGAGCCTGATCAAACTCCGATCGCTCGATCGTACCATTGCCATCTTCGTCAAAGGAGGCGAAGACTTTGCGGAGATTTTCTTCGGTGAACTCTTGTTCTCCGAGCTTCGACAGCACGGCAGCGTTGACGCGATGAACGGCTTTCGTCCAGTCAAAGAGGTAGTAGTCGGAGAGCCCGACAATCAGCCCCCCTCCCACGACATTTCCGAGAATGACCAGCAATAAGTTCTGGTACAGCCAATTCTTGTAGTCCGCATTCGCCCCGTACATCAACCCAAGGGGAACATACGCCATGTTTGCAATCGCGTGCTCGAAGCCGCTTGCAGCAAAGACGAAGATTGGAAACCACATGCCGAACTGCAGGCCAAAGAGAGTCAAGCAGCGAACTCAAGAGAGACATGAAACGCACCAACTTGCCCGTCATATCCTTGGCAGACATTCCAAAAAGAATGCACGTGCAGACGAGGGCGTTGGCTGGAATGGCGCGGAGAAAGGCTACTTCAGGCTTGAGGTGAACCTTGTACTCGGCAACATGAGTGATGTAACTGTGGGTCGGCTCGGACACAAAGAGGTCAGTGAGATATCCAAAGAAGTAGACTGTAGCAACGCAGCCAGCGAAGTTTGAGACAAGGACGACGCTCCAGTTGTACAGGAGCTCCCAGATCGTTACTCTCTTGGCGATCAGCCCAACAATCATGTACATGGAATTGCCGGTGAAAAGCTCTCCTCCGAAAATGACGATAAACCAGATAGCAGCAGGAAAGAATATGCCCACAAACAACTTGGGGAGCATCGGCCATGCATCCCTCACTTCTTTGGGGATCCCTCCGGACAGAGTTGTCGTGATGATAACAGCGAGGCCTACCCACCAACCAGCGATACATCCCAGGAAGAAGAGTTTTAGGGGCTCAGTGTGCGCTTTCTTCATGGACAGCTTCTCTATCTGTTTCTCTACTTCATCCATTGCATTGATTTCAGAGCTTATTTGGAACTTGGCGAGTTTTGCTTTCTCGTCTTCCGACATCTCCCTCACGATCACAGTCTGCAGCCCATTGCCGTAAATCCGGGACTCAACGTCCATTGATGGAGTCTTCGTGATGTTGATATCGCCACCAGCAATGACGTATGAATTGTGACCATTGGTATTGTTCGAATTCGCCCCTTGTTCGACCCCGTCGATGTCGCAGGAATGCACAAAACTCACAGGTTGTCGCTCCATCTAGATAAAAACGTGTGTAAGCTCTTGGTCTTCATGGGTTTTCATGTTCAAAAAGAGTCGTTAAGTGGATCAAAGAAATAGCAAGTAAGTGCTTCAATTTCAAAAACTAAGAAACATGTATCGAGCGACTCTACCAGCTTGTTGGTGTTAGTGCTCTTTCAATCCTCGTTAACCTACAGCGAAAGTTGTTTATTCCGGTGTCCAGATTCCGCCTTTTGTCTACCTTTGATCTGGCTGCACTTTTGCTCCCTCTACTCACTTTCATTCTGAATACGTCACATTCTTCCTTCCTACTTCACCTCCGCCAGTTTTTGACTGTTTGTTTTTAAAATCTTCTGCAGCGCTTCACATTTTCCTTCCTTCTCCTCTCTCCTTGTCTGCAGAATTGTCGTCAACTTACTCTCTGAACCTCTCCTTCTTCTGCCTCACACATATCTCTTTGCTCATACTCGTCTCATCCATTGTTCCCCTGTTTTCAATGCCATACAAAGCTACCGCAGTATCCACCAAATCGGAAGTCAAGGGGTACTTGTCTAGGGGTAGTATTCAAGGGACTAGTGCGGGTGGGGTAGTCCTACGTCCTTTACAGTGAGGGTGGAGAAGTACAAACGAAGCTGACGGGATCGTATTACCGGAGGGGTGGTGGGATATTCTGGTCAAAGTAGGGAGTGATACGAGAAGGGGTGTTTCAAAACGGGGTGGGGTAGTCTGTTGACTTGCTGACCATTGCGTCCCTCGTTTTATTATTAAAGATACCGGGTAGTACACAATTATTATTAGAACCTCTACAGCGAAGGGGTGGGGGGTCCAAATAGAGAAGCAGGGGTGAATTTGCCTGTTGTGAGTGGGGGTAGTTGTTGCAAGGGATCGGGGTCGTCGGGTACTGTAAACATTTAAAATGAATTGAACTTGTTCTCTTTATTTTAAAACTTTGATGAAGTCAAATAATGTAACACCTTTCGTGTTTCTGAACATGCCATGATTGACTCGGAAAAAAAAAAGTAGTCAGTGATCGGATCCGGCGTCACGGGCGCCCGGCCGGCGGCGGGGAGCCCGGCCAGCGGCCGCAACTTGCAAGGCAAGTTGACTCGGCTTGAGTAGGCCCGGGCCCCGGAAGTTCAACGGGGGGGCCGGGGCCCGGCCAACTCTGTTGAGGCAACTGATCAGAAGGGCCTCACCTCACAGTCAGGTCATGTCACGGTGGAGTCTGTGCACACTGAGCGCACTGAAAGGGCAGCAACAGCTACAATAGGGACGACGTAGGAGCATCACGAAGAAGACAGCAAGAACTTAGGACCCATGGATGGCAGCAGGTGATAAGCGAGTCAACTCATATCAGTCTACGACAGGACAGCAAGTGACAGGCCCGAAGGGCCGCTCGCATTTGCAGGAAAGGGAAACTGAGGAGAATGAATCGGAGGTGAACGGTCTCTGTGAGACTGGACGGTTGCTTGAAGTAAACAAGCTTGTACATCTGTACCAATCCCTTATCACCTCTGTTACTTCTCTGAATCCTGATATTATTCCTGCGCGGCCATCGGTGATCGCACATTGAAGTATCATCACCGTACAGATACTTCATCACTGTCTACTTCGTGTGGGGAGAGAGTTCCACTGGAAATCTCAACATATGAAGTTATAAGATAATTACTCACCCGCGGGGCGGCAGCAGCTACGCAGTGCCTGCCACCGCTCGTCGGGAGTCGATAGGCCCGGCGGCGGGTAGGGTCCTCCGCTTGACGTGACTCGCCGGGCCGGCGGGCAACTCCCAGCCCTCCTTCCTACTTCCGAAGTTCGGAAACTTGACTCCGAGGCTCACTGCACTGCGGCTGATCGGACTTGACAGCTTCTGCCGGGTCACCATGATCCTCAGTAGTGTAGTCCGGTCAGAACTTCGGAAGTCGACACTCAGTGACTCACGGTCAGATCACTGACTTGCGGCCAATGCTTGAAAGATGCAATTGACTCTAGACGATCAATCATCACAATAGCTCTGAACCGTCGGCACTGATGAAGAACATCACCCTGCCTGCACTCGAACGACTGCCGCCCAGTGCCAGCGGTGCTGCGGCGGGCGGCAGGATCACCACACCTACTACCCAGCAATGCAACATCTGCATCAGCCTGGGAAGCTCAGACTCTCTCTCCACGTCACCACGTCGCCAGCACGGCATACAGGGCCGATCGACGGTGCAACCGTTGAACGACTCGAACACTGTCTTCAAAGTTGACAGAGATGAATTTCTGGTGCGAGTTACTTTTGACGACGAGAACTGGGTGCTACCACATCCTGACAGTGAAAAAGTACGGATACTTCCTTCAGGGACAGAGTTTGCTCTGCAATGATTGCAATGTCTGAGGCAGAGACATCGGAATTGTTCACTGAGGAGGAGTCACAGTCGGGTATTTTACCGGAGAATGTTTTCGAGTTAGAGGGTTGCACTCAATGCTTCTTTCAATTTCGAGCGTTTCCTCAAAAGGGTGATAACGTTCTTTCGGTTGTGGTGGAGAAAACAATTGAAGGAAATCCAGATGTTTTAGTTATGCAAAGGCAGTCTCCTATTCCATGGTCTTGTCGGCTGTTACCTGGAAAAGTTCTCAGGACTCGGATGGAGACGAAGTACTGTTTGTTTTGGACGAGGATAATCGAGTACCTGTAAGGCGCTATCGTGCTGGCGACCCTGTGCCGTACCAGGAAGATCATGCTTGCGAGCATCTCCTCCCCGATGCGCAGGCTGTAGGGTGTCATGGGTATCGTTCTCGTACTAGACGCGGATGAGTTGATCATGTACCGTATGTCTGTCTTCTTATGACATGCCGTAGACGCACAATAGGAGAATTCCTCGTATTTGTCCGCTATGAAGCCTATGACCGGCTTCTCATTAAAATAGAATGCGATGTAAACGTTGGTGTTAAACCCCCGCATGATCTCGACGAGGATGGTCCTGTGGTTGTGGAGGTCTGGGTTCCCTTGCATTCTGTGGGTCGAATCGTACTTTGGTTGCATGAGGGGTGAGATCATCTCCTTGAACCATGCGTCATTTGTGTGGATCCCGAAGCTGTAGATGGAATATCCCCCTTGCGTGCTGTAGTTCACGACATTTCAACGGAGCATCTGTGATCGATGTGCACAATCACCTCAGACAGAGTGGACTGGGACTAGAAGAAAAAGTTGGAACTCATGACTGGAGATTCAGAATGTTCTGTACGATACTTGGGTTCATTGAAGTGGATGCATACAAGATTTTCCGTGTTGGAATGCCACCAAAAGAAGTCCCCAGTCATCTGGTGTTCATGAGAAATTCGTACGAAGGTTGTCCAGATTCATCGATCCCAAGAAGAGGAGGACAGGATAGCACAGATACCAGCGTGGATGATGCCAGTCATGAAGCAGAAGCGCCGTTGGATCATGCTTGTTGACGACCACGCTCGATTTTTCATCCAACAAAGTACACAAGGGGTGAATGCACAGCGGTCGAAAAGAGTGAGATGCAGGATCTGTAGAAGTGGCAATGGGAAGGGTTTGTACACTACCTTCTGTTGTTCACTTTGTAGCAAGAATGATCCTCTTAAGAGACCATTTGGTATCTGCGGAACAGCGTCTCGAAGAAATTGCTTGCAGGAGCACTAAGATCATCATGGGTGAAATCGTATAAGATGATGTTGCTAATAAATAAATCCTTTTCAGGTACATTTGTACAAGATCAACATTGCTTCAGAAGTGAGTCAGCACACCAAAATCATCCGGCATGGTACTTCCAAATGCAAATCTGCAGCAGTTGGCGTCTCAAAAAATGGTGAGAACAGAATGTTGTACCACACACAATCAAGATATCATTCACTTAAGATTAGAATATCAAATTTAGTTCTCAATACGTGAACATATTCTGCAGGCTCACAACGTGCTGCTACTGTGAAATTGGATGCTCTCCTCCCCACCATGTACGCGCCACCATTGCGATCGTTGCAAACCCCCACCTACTCCGAAATGACCCCCACCCATCATATATCCGGATTAGACTAGTCCATTAACCCCGTACTATGTGTGAATCGATTACCCCCACCCAGTCATGGAGCACTTGCCGCTCTGATACTGTCTACGATTGGAATCAGGAGAACATTTCATCTCTCAGTTTCAAATCTGCCCCTACAATATGAACCCCTCCCCGACGATTCTGAGGAGCTCTTTCGGAATTTCGCTAGCACAGCGCCGCTATGACCAAACGCCGACATAGCAGCGACAAGGAGGAGTCCACAGTTGGGAGCAAGAGGTTGCAGCAGGCCAAGGGACTGCGCTCAGACAACAAGGAGGAGAAGCTTCAAGAGCAGATCAAGGAGGAGAAGGAGAAGCTCAGAATCAAGGAGGAGAACCTTCAAAAGAAGATCAAGGAGGAGAAGCAGGAGCTCAGAATCAAGGAGGAGAACCTTCAAAAGAAGATCGAGGAGGAGAAGCAGGAGCTCAAAATCAAGCAGGATAATCTCCAAGTGAAGGAGCAGAATCTTCAAAACCAGAAGGAAGAGGCTATGCTAAAATATTCTGGGCAAGGGGAAGAAAACAAGGAGTACAGGAAGGTCCTGAAGTCGCTTGAGGACCAGCAAAACAGACTAGAAGAGGAGAAGGGAACCCTCAAGGAGGAGAAGGAGAAGCTTGAATTGAAGGAGGAGAAGCAGGAGCTTGGAATCAAGGAGGAGAAGAAGAAGCTTGAATTGAAGGAGGAGAAGGAGAAGCTTAGAATCAAGGAGGAGAAGCTTGAATTGAAGGAGGAGCAACATCAAAACCAGAAGGAAGAGGCTATGCTGAAATATTCTGGGCAAGGGGAAGAAAACAAGGAGTACAGGAAGGAGGTCCTGAAGTCGCTTGAGGACCAGCAAAACAGACTAGAAGAGGAGAAGGGAACCCTCAAGGAGGAGAAGGAGAAGCTTGAATTGAAGGAGGAGAAGCAGGAGCTCAGAATCAAGGAGGAGAAGGAGAAGCTTGAATTGAAGGAGGAGAAGCAGAAGCTTAGAATCAAGGAGGAGAAGCTTGAAATAAAGGAGCAGAAACTTCAAAACCAGAAGGAAGAGGCTATGCTGAAATATTCTGGGCAAGGGGAAGAAAACAAGGAGTACAGGAAGGAGGTCCTGAAGTCGCTTGAGGACCAGCAAAACAGACTAGAAGAGGAGAAGGGAACCCTCAAGGAGGAGAAGGAGAAGCTCAGAATCAAGGAGGAGAACCTTCAAAAGCAGATCAAGGAGGAGAAGGAGAAGCTTGAATTGAAGGAGGAGAAGCAGAAGCTCAGAATCAAGGAGGAGAAGCTTGAATTGAAGGAGCAGAAACTTCAAAACCAGAAGAAAGAGGCTATGCTAAAATATTCTGGGCAAGGGGAAGAAAACAAGGAGTACAGGAAGGAGGTCCTGAAGTCGCTTGAGGACCAGCAAAACAGAATAGAAGAGGAGAAGGGAACCCTCAAGGAGGAGAAGGAGAAGCTCAGAATCAAGGAGGAGAGGCTTCAAGAGCAGATCAAGGAGGAGAAGCAGGAGCTCAGAATCAAGGAGGAGAAGCTTCAAAAGCAGATCAAGGAGGAGAAGGAGAAGCTTAGAATCAAGAGGGAGAAGCTTGAATTGAAGGAGGAAGACAGCATTTGCTGGACAGAGATAGCTTGGAATTGTGATACAGTTGGGCACAAAGAGGGGGGCAATCTTTTCTGTCTCGGTGGATCCTTTGTGGATCAGTTCAGCTCCGGGCAAGCAAAACAGGAGGTGCTCTACTGCAGGGAATGCTTCAATGAGCAGTGGCGTTTCATCGAGGAGAAGGTGTGCAAGGCCGGGTGTTTGGGTTGGATCCTGGGCCCTCCAGGAACGGGGAAGACGATGACAACCATGTCCTTCCTCCTATCGCTGAGCAAGGACAAGAAATGGGGAGTGATGTGCGTACGGGTGTGGAAGTGGGGTCCAGTCAAAGTCCTACAAGTCGATCAAGGAGTGTTGAGAGTTGTTGAGCTGACACGCAATGAGATTGACAAGGGGCTGAGGAGGATTCTTCGGGAATGGACACAGAGCGACAAGAAGTATCTCGTGTCCTTGGACGGTTATCAACAGGGGTCACATGAGTCTGTGCTTACTGAATGTGTATTGTGGCTCCACCAGGACCGGGCCAATCGGCGGGTTGTAATCACGACATCGATGAATTCTCGAGCAAAGAAAAAACCTGAGCAAGATAGAAATGAGAAAGTAGAGGAGCTGATGGTGTACTCGTGGACACTGGAGGAGTACCTGGAGGCCATTAGGCACGAGTTGTTCTACGTGAGTGTGGCTGGAGTGATGGAATGGAGCTTGGAATCGAATGTGACAGAAGCAGAGAAAAGGTCTAGAGAGGTGGAGTCGAAGTTTCAGATTGTTGGAGGCTCATGCCGATATATGTTCGAACATACGACAGAGAAAGCAATCAACGATCTTCGTCAAGCGATGGACAGTGTCGCTGATTACAAGAAGCTCATTGACATGAGCATGGGCGATACTTCAGACCAGTTTGTCAATCGGCTACAGGGGAAGTATCGCATGGGAAGCCAAGTGTACTGGACGCCTGTGAGCAGGTTTGTTGCCACGGAGCTAGCACAGAGGCTTGGAGAATCTTTTGTGAGGGAGATTGAGGAGCTCTCTGGCATTGCTGCGAATCCGACACTTAAGGGTGTGTTGTTTGAGATGCTGTTCTTTGCTCGGATAGGACGAGAGCCAGGGCTGCAGGTATTGCTCAGGTCAGGGAGGGAGTCAGAGCCACCAGGCGTGCCAGAGAAATGGGACCGCTGGGAATTGTACGCTGTGAAAGATCTGGACACAAGCGAAATCGACGAGGCTCGGAGGAATGGGATGACGCGGATGTGCCTGAAGCCATTGAAATGGAATCAAGGAGGCTACGATGCAGTGATCGTGGACTGGAACAAGACGTCGGTGTGTTTCGTGCAAGTGACCATTGCGGAGACACATGACCTCAAACTGCGATACATGTCTGAGTGCCTGGATTCTTTGGGCGTTGAGCCAGGGGGGAACTGGGAGGTGAGGATTGTGTTTATCGTTAAGAAGGAGAACCTCTACAAGTTCGCAGTGAGACATGTGGAAAACAAAGACATACTTTTAAGAAAGTACGGGTGGGCATACAGCCAGGAGGAGATTGATGCTAATGTTGTCGGGATGGACTCAGGACCGCGAAGGTAGATCCGCGAGATCGAGAGCGAAGGAGGTGGGAGTCCGCGGACTCCTCGCCCGGCCTGTTGCGGTGCGACTTGATCATATTATAGAGCATCTGTTCTCCTCCAGCTGGAGCAATAACTGCTGCTCTGCTCGAAGAGAGAAGGAGAGGGAACAGATATGTTACAAAGAGCTCCAATGTGGACATTCCTAGGGCGGTCCAACGAGAACGCCGTGATGAGTGAGGAAGGATGTCCCATTGCGAATTAGCTC